TTGGAAAGTGTTGTAAAATATGTTCACTTGATTCGTGTCAAAATAAAATCCATATTGGGGCAGCATGGTGAGGTGTGGTTCTGTTGGTTTTGTATAGCTACGGGCCTGGAGAAAAAGCAGGGTAATTAGTTCTGATTTTTGTTTGTTGTCACTTGGCGTGTTGTTGTGCTGGCTTGCCCTGAATGTGTTAATGGCCGCTTTATGTTAAACAAAGGGGAGTTTGTAAAGCGCATCCATGGAGCCTGAAGTCGCTAAACGGGGAGCCGAAGAAGATTGACCGCATCCAACGACCACCAGGTGGGAGCGAAGGCGACCCCAAGAGGTGAAAAGAACATGCTTCAAAGAAGACCTACCTGTTTTTTGGAACTAATTTACATGGACCCACCTGTTAATGGATATGTATTAGCAGGGACAATAAAAGCCGGAGACAGGGACTCTATGGTGTGCGTCTTGGTCGAGCAGAGTCTCCCGGTGCACCCAGCACTGTTTGCTTGCCTTTGTTCGTTTAATAAATTTTAAATTTAATTGGAATCTGGTTTTGTGCTAAATTATTTCTCACAGTGTTATAGAATAACAGTTGAGATGCTGCTCTGCTTTTTCAGGACAGAGGAGTTCAAATGCAGAGGACATTTATACAAATCAGTGTACTGCTCTGGACCTTACATTTTTCGGGATGCCACTCTTTATCTTGCAAGGGAGCAGAAGTATAAACACTGAGTATGCATTCTGGTTTTCCTTTCTCAGCTGAAGGAAACTGGCCTGCTGCTGCCAGCTCTGGGGAACACTCATAGGCAGATACAGCATCTCCAGAGAGTCTGAGTGACTCTGAACTGAAGCCCTGAAAAGTGAAGGATACACCATATTTTTTCAGTTTGTTCCAGTGATTAAGCAGCTGTTCTTTCACAAGTGCCATCTTGTTTTAAATTTGAATTTGTCTGACTTCTATTTCCACCTCCTCTTTACGCCCTTCTTTGTTAAAGTGTCCTTTGTTTCCTGTGTTCTCCCTGAGGAAATTCTGCCACATCACAACCATATTTTCTATCAGCTTTCTTTTCACTAAACACTAGGAGACTTTTAATGCTTTACTAGCAACACTAGCCCTCAGTAATTCCCTTTTCTCTTTCAGTATTCCATTTTTTTCCTTCTTCCTTTCAAAACTGTGAGTCATACATCAAGAGTGTCGATCTCATTAGTGCAGTAGAGAAAGGGCAGATCAGTGTTATGCTTGTCTGTGTTCACACACATTCAAAGTTGCCCTGGAAGCAGATGATGAGTTTGTCACTCTGATTTCGTGTCATTGGTTCCCAGGGAATTAAGTGTTGCTTTTGCCCTCTGCACGAGATGTTAAAAATTCAGCGCTGCGGTGAGCTGGTACGCAGAGGGGTGATGGGAGCCTGCCAGGAGAAGAGGCCAGGTTACCCTGCCGCCGTCAGGACTCACCCACAGGCTGCCAGCCACAGATTTTATCAGCAGCAACTGGATACTTCCATGAAGGAACAGATAACCTGGTTCCTAGTGACTCCGACAAGCAGAAATCAGCAGGGATCTCTTAAAGGGATTTTTTTTTTTTTTTTTTTATAATCTACTACTAAATCACCATTTATAAGGTAGGCATAAGGAACATTTTCAAGAATAATAGTTTGGACCATGGTAAATGTGAAATACTCTAAAGCAAGATTAGGCCTTTTCTCATTCCAAGCAGAATGCTGATTAACTTATTCATTACACTGAAGTAGTGAAGTATAAATTATTTATGAGGAAAGAAATGCATTTTTCCTCATCTCGGGCTCTAGTCATTATGAATTTGGCTCTGCAGCCACAGCTGTTTCTTTTAGAAACTGAACAGCTGAGAAAACCAGGCCAAGTAGACTACAATTCTGACTTCATTTGCAACTATTTAGAAATTTCAAGAAGGCCAGCATGTAAGAACATTGGATATTTTTCGTTGCTCTGCTGAAAACTCAATCATCACAAAGTAAGTTAAAACCAAAGTATCAAGGTGCCGTGATTAGTACAATTAAACATATTCCATTATATGAAAGAAAGATGAGGACACGGGCTAGGCAGTGCAGAGGTGTAACCCCAAAGACCCTCTGGTGACAAGAGCTGAGAAGCAGCAATTAGATTTTTAATAGCACACTGATGGACTTTTACTGGATTCAGATGTATGCATTCTCTGAGACATAAAAGTCTGCACTGAAACACTGTGGCAGTAAATGAGAATGAAGAAGAATGTGGAAAAAAAGAATAGAAAAAAAATTGCAAAACCTGTTGTGGCAAAACACTGAGGTCCCATACAAGATGTGAGCCCAAATTTGACCTGTAAGCAGGTCTTGGTGATATTACTGTTTTACAGCATTTTTGGTTGGACTATGCCAGTGTGGAGAAGCATTCATGGGGAAATAATTATCAAGCAAATTAGAATCTAACCAGTTTCATTTCATTGTGTGTTTCTGAGCTCTCAGGGCCTGCCGAAGGGAAAGGCTAAGCTAACTTTTTTCCATTGTTATTTCACTGACAGCAGTAGGACGATTTAATTTGCTGTCACACAGAGTTTGGATTAGTGCACATCCAGAGCTGTATCAATTTACTGTAGCTGTTATCTAACCCATTGTTTCAGTGTCAATTTACAAACTGATTTTTTACAGGCTTGTCTACAAGAAGACCAAGCTGAATCAGCTACTATAGTGTATATATGGGGCTAAAAGAAGTATATGCACACTGCTAATTCACACCAATCCTAAATTGTCTCTTCTTGGCTGTCTAGTTCTGGGTGATGTCTGCCTTTGTAAGGAAGGGATGCATTTCATGACATTAAACGTGCTGAAATTTGGGAAAAAAGGTAGTTAATGCATCTATCTGTCTGTGGATGCTATAGGTGTGGAACCCTTAACAGCACAGACCATCTTATTTTTCAGTGTGGGAAAAAACCTCTGCAGGACAATAATGTTTTAGCTGAATCCTGAATGTTACTGACCATTTCCAGTACTCAACCAAAAGAGCAGAAAGTGAGACTGTGCAGAGAAAAGTTTGCAAAAACAAGCCACCTTGTGCAGCTGAGAATAAAATCTGCAGGTAAAACAAAATATGAGGCCACTAAGGGGACCTATTTATTCCTCAAGAAACCATCTCCCATTGCTGATATCATCTCAAATCTTCATTCTTAGAAAGACCCATCAATATCTCTAACCAGGCTGCTCCAGTGCAATTTGGATCTGCACATCAAACATGCTTTTTGCCCAGCTGCTGCATGGAGGCAGCACTGGTGAGGCTGCCAGAACGCACTGCGGGCAATGTCACCCTGCGTCGGGAGCCACCGCTGTGTGTCACTCCCTCCTCTGTCTCCTGGGTCTCTGCATGAGCCTGCGTTTTAACCCAGTCTAGGCAGAACTTTACAACTTATTTTTGGGAGCATGGGAAAGCTGTTTGTCAAGCCTTTAACTTCAGATTGGTCAGCACAACTTTCTGAAAATTCATACAGCACTCAGTCTTTATTCTGTGCCAGGCACGAGCTGCCTACAGAGGAGATCTACGTCGCACTTGGAGCAACTGCACTTAAACTGTCACATTCTAGATGGAATCTCAAATGTTTACCCATCAGTCAACAGGCCTTACACAATTCAGTGTATGAACATGTTAAGTCTAGCCCTCTCCTACCACAGTGAAGGAAATCCAGTGGAAGCTCTGGAGTAAGTTATTGTCTGCCCACGACACACTGCAGCCATTCGTCACTCAAATACTTCTAAAGACACATGCAAAATATTGAACAACAGCAAAACCCTCCAAGAACAAAAGAGTAAGAACACAGATGGTATTTTACAGCCTTGGCATATATTAAACATGCACTCAGGTAGTGTACATTCTGCTAGGTGAGAAGAACCGTTCTGTACTCCATCAGTTACTAGCATTGGGTAAATCAAGTCTAGAATGAAGAGCTCAGAATAAATTCACATACATGCAATTCCAACAGAACACACTCAGTGCAAACGAAACCGCAGTCAAACACTGAATTAACATACTCAATGTAAATAAGATGGATTTTGAAATGGAAGAACAAATTTTCTTGTTTCTGACACGCACCATTATTATCTTTCTCTGAAAGCTGTGGGGCTGGAGGTGGTGGTGAGGCAGGGCAGCAGCAGAGGGGAGCAGACACCTCCCTGCCCACATGTGGGATGTGGGTGCCCCCACGTGGCTCCTCGACCCGGGCAGGCACGGCTTTCTAGGCCACTCTGAGTGGCAGTTTACAGCATATTCTGCTAATTAGGAGTATACAAATTCATGTTGAGTCACAGCAGTATCAAGTTGTGCTCATTCATTTTCTGCTTATGCTTCTCTTCCATAATCGAAGAGACACCTCAAATTGAACCTGCAACATTCGCACTTCAAAGCCCCTTTCCTGATCCTCTCTGTTCATCAATTTTGCTTTTTCAGCTATTTATAGAGCTGCCTGATGTTGCAGTTCCAAATGAAAGAATTTAAAATGTATCATCTCAAGTGACTTATGTTGGCAAATTTTTACACTCAAAATTTCCAAAGGCCCCAAAGACCCATGTAATGAAAAATTACCAGTAATATTGGAAAAAGCTAGAAAATAGTAGGTGACGTGGATCAGAATAGTTACTCTTTTTAATTAAACGTGCAAAGAATTATTGATGACAGCTACGACTGCCTTTTGTTGTTTGAAGAATTCAACCTCTTCATAATTACTGATTATTTGCAACCCAAGTCAGAGATTTCAAAGCACTCACTCTCTAGCAA